ATATCCGAGTCAATTTCCCTGAAACATCTAGACATTTAGCCCAATATGGAATATCTTGGTCGATGCTTTGGTCATGGAAATGCTGAAGCAATAAAGATCAAGCGGGACTAGCGTGCACGTCATGAGATAATTGCCATCATTTGGCTGAATTTGATGGCTGACCACTCCGAAAAGCTATGGTCCCTCCCCTACCCACTCCCTATTCTATGACTGGTGTTCGCCTTCATTCATTTTCCCATGCTCCACTCTTACCCATTTACTTGGAGCTCGACGTTAAGGTGTTTGATCAACACTAAGCAATGTTATTGAGGATGTACATGGCTGAGCATCTGTTTGTCCTTTTCACAGTCACAACTGTCTAAACACCCACTTCCTTTCGCCTCGTATTTACTGAACCCTCTCGGGGATCTAAATTTGGTCAATGGAGGGGAACCATCAATTCCGTTGAACAAACATCTCCTGATCATTCATGGTGACATTGGGGATTCAAGATGAACTAAATCTTGCCGAAGTCAACCGGGCAGGAGATCAGTCCTTTAATTATACCTACCACTAAACATGGGAATGTCGAGCATGCCGTCGTGTCCTCAGCATGTCCTTTACATTTCTAAAAAGCTACTCTTTCAAGCATGCCTCTTTGTGAAGTGTTATTTTGTGGAGTGCCGAAGGAATTTTTCATAGCGACAAGACATCACAGGCATTCTGCAGATCCAATCTAATTATGTTCTTAAACGCCTCTACAATTTTGAAAGTAAAATACTTCAAATCATTTCTCCGACGTTTTCTCCCAAAACTAATTTTTCGTAACTCTGGAATCCTCTTTGCCCGTGATTACGACTCTTGATTCATGTTTTCGCCGTCTGCCCATCTCTTCTACTGCGTAGCTTCGTCTTTGACTGCAGACTTCCTTATTTGTTCCCATAGCTGCTCTACCGTGGCCCTTACGCCTCTCGTTCCAACATGTCTGATGAACCCTCTTATTTACTCATCCTGCTAGTGGATTTCCCCTTTTTTCCCATTGATCTTTTGCTCTCCCTTGCTACAGTTTCTCTATTTTTTCTGATTTTCTCGATTTCCTACGAGAGTTCACTATGGAAGAGGAGCGGAATCTATCTACACGAGTGACGACTTCTCATTGCACAGATGTGCCCCGAAAAACAGGAAGGACGATAAAAGCTCATTGCGCTTTCCGTAAGCCAGTGATCCGTCAAGATGGCTTGCTTTGAAAGGATGAAACAACTCACTCAACAGGGTACAAGTCTGTTCGTCGTTCTCTTGAGCACATTCATACAGAGCAAACTTGCGAGGATTGTCGGCTACCCGGAACTTTCGCAGTAACGTGACGATCATCTGCCTGGAATGGAATCAATATGAGGCTGGCTAATGGATTCGTAAACAGTTTCTTCGCTGAACATGCACAGCACCTGTGCTTTGCCTACAGAAATAGAAGTGGAAATCCTCTCCGATTGAAATGTAAGCAACACTGGTAAAGGAGTTAGAGCGCACAGCGCGGGTAACGGAAATTCTCCCCTATCGCGCATTCTCCCTTGCGGCATGCGGCAAATGTCACTGCAA